AGCCTGGGCCAGGGGCTCGCCACCCTCTCTTTGCAGGGTTTGTTCCTGTCAGCAAGGTGTGGGGGGATCCGGGCCTTGGGTGTGCTGGGGGATAGCCAGAGTTGCCACATGCTGGTAAAGCTCTGAATTAGCAGTTGGAATCATAGAGATCTTTTCCAGCCTGGATGATTGTAAGATCACCAAGTCCAACCATTAACCCAACACTACCATGATCACCAAACCATGTCCCAAAGTACTACGTTCATACATTTTTTGGACATCTCCAGAATGCTGACTCCACCATCTTGCTTAGACCAAGTACCTTTCTGTACTAATAAAAGTTGTTTATGCTTCTTATTGTCCCCATTCAGTCCTGTAAATTCAGCAAAGCCTCTTGCTGTGCTGTGCACTCACCCCGGGTTTGCCTGGCAGGTGACCAAGGCGGTCAGAGCTGGAGAGGTGGATGCCAGGACCCGTCGGCAGATCTTCGACGCGATCGGGTTCACGTTTCCCACCCGGCTGCTGAGCTCCAGGCAGCCCCCAGCAGGCTGCCCCCAGCACACCTTCCGTGCCCTGGGCCTCACGCTGCTGGCCTGCTTCTGCACCGACCCGGAGCTGGCTGGGCACTCCCAGATCCTCAACAAAATCCCAACCTTCAACGACGTCCTGCTCTCCCCCTGCCCTCCCGACGGCGCAGCCATGGTCGATGACGTGTACCAGTGCCTGGGTGCCATCGTGGCCACTGCCAGGGGCCCCAGGGAGCTGGTGACCAAGGGGACGGTGTCTGCCTTGTGCCAGGCCTACCTGAATGGCAGCTATGGCTCTGACCGTGCCGTGGCCCTGCTCCTGGGGCTGTTGGCCGTTGCAGAGGCCAAATGCTGGCAGAGGGACGCTCCTCACCTCCTGGCTGTGCTCAGCAAGCTCTCTGAGGATTTTCTCAAGAGTGAGGACGTGACCAAATTTGAGCTGTGCGAGGTTCTGCCTCACTTCATCCCCCTGTCACCACCCCTCACACAGGACTCGCAGGGCTCCGAGTGCCTCCACAGACTTTACAAGGGGCTGGCTAACATCTTGGGCAGTAAACTCAGCCAGTCACAGCGGGACCCTGCTCTGAAGCTGGCTGCCTGCCTCGTGCAAGCCTGTGGGTCAGAGTGGATTCCAGCAGGGAGTGCTGGAGGCAAGTTCCTGGCCTTGCTGGTGAACCTGGCGTGTGTGGAAGTCCGCCTGATGCTGGAGGAGCCAGATCCCTTGGAGACAGAGGGGAAGAAGGAAGTGGTAACAGCCTGCTACGTCCTCATCGAAATGGGAATCCAGGAGTGCCTGAGAGAAGAGAAACCACTGCTGGAAGAGGTGCAGAAAGTGCAGCTCATGAGGATCATGGAGGAGGCATTTGGAGCTGTAATATTCTACCTGAGACAGGTAACGCAGGGCTTTCAAGCAAAGAGCATGTTTTTGGGGGTTTCTCTGGGATGCTTTGTGGGCACTCAGCAGTTCATGGCCATAGCTGTGTGGAGCAAGATGTACATCCTGGCCCACTGTGCTCTCATAGCTGCAGTGGCTCTAAGACATTTCCTGTCTGCTGGCTTCTTCATGCAGGTGAAACAGGAGGAGCTACACGACCCTTTCATATTCGCCTCTGTTCGAATCCTGGGAGCCTGGATGGCAGAAGAGACATCCTCCCTCAAGCAGGAGATCTGTGAGCTCTTGCCTTTCCTTGTTGATTACGCTAAGAAGCTTTTCAAAGAGGGCAGCCAGGCTGAGAGTCTTCCCCAGCCAGAGCTGGGCAGCACTGAGGGCTCTGGCCCGCCCCAGGATGCTCTGAGGTGGGTATTTTAAGCACAGAGTTGATCCGTTTTGGCAGAAGCCTGCTCAAATCTTTTTCTATTTCCCCTTCTCCCTACACTACCAATCCTGTGCCTCTTTTTCCCCCTCAGCTGGATATAAATACAGGGCTTAGACCCATTCTACCTCACATTCCCCATTTTTTTTCCTCTTCCAGATTTCTGCTACCTGGCTTTTGCCATTTAACAGCAGAGGACAGGCCCCGGGACATCCTCATCTCAGCAGGGGCACCAGCACTGCTGGGTGAGTACTTCCTGCATCACTGCAAGGTGCTGATCTCTGAGCTTGAGTCCCCAGCTCTGCTGACGAGCACAGAAATGAGCCTCCAGACCACGTGTGGAATTTTCCTTAACCTGGTTGTGACTGCACCAGACCTCATCAGGTAATGGAGCCCCAGGAGCTTGCTTGAAGAGTGGGAAGAAAGGGAGTGTCTTGTAAAATAAGCTCACAGGATCTTTTTAGACACTGTTGAAAAAGGGATGTCCCTTTCCCAACACCAACCACGTTGCATTTGTGGTGCTGCATTTAACCTTGACGTTTTCAGGTGCTTCTGGCTGTGTTGAGGAAACTTGTCTTGGGGTTTGCTTTCTCTCTAGGCAAGACAAAGCCTTTTCCTCCTTGATGGACGAGTTGCTGAAGTTTCTTCCACTCCTGCTGCCCCGGAAAGATCACCTGGTCCTGGCAGCCAACGTTGCCACGCTGGGCCTGATGATGGCCAGGGTCCTCGCCAGCTCAGCAGGTAGGAGAAGCTCCCACTGGCAAAGCTGTGTGGTGCTGTGGACAGGCAGGGACCCAGTTCTGGGTGGTTGCCTGGAGAAGGTAAATGCAATGGGAGCAGGTTTGGTTTCTGCCATTGGAAAAGTGACAAAACCCAACAACCTGCAGGAGCTGGAATCTGCAGAAAGTTCAGCA